TACTGCTGTAGTAACTGACTTAGGAATGATTTTGTTTATTTAAACAAGTGATGAGATTCTAATAGTTTTTCTTTTATTTATTTATTTTTTTATTAAATCATAGTTGTGTACATTAATACTATCATGGGGTACAGTGTGTTGTTTCCATATACAATTTGAAATACTTTCATCCAATTGGCCAACATAGCCTTCATGTCATTCTCATAGTTGTTGTGTTAAGACATTTATATTCTACATTTAGAAAGATTCACATGTACCCTTATAGGATAAATCATAGGCATGATCCCAGCAATCACCCTCTCTGCACCCATCCTCTTCCCCTCCTTTCCCCTCCCTCTCCCCATATTCTTGGGCTAAAATTGGGTTATAGCTTTCCTATGATAGCTAAAAATTAGTTTCATACAATTTAATTAATGATCTTTAAACCATTTTTGAGGGATACCTAAGAGCCTCTCATGGCATACTGGTTGGAAATCACTGCTTTAGACTGAAGAGCAATGAATGTAGTATTATAATGAACACCTGGTATTCTGCCATGCTTGGCCCATAGCGCTTTTAGAAATCTAGTTCTGTGTGTGTGTGTGTGTGTTAAAGAAGCTCATTCACTGGATAACTTTTAAAATCAGAGATGGACTTATGAAGCCAGGATACTCAAGGCAGAGGATGGCCGGAAGTGGTTACGTCCCTTCTAGATATAAATGCTGACCCCCTCTTTCAGTGGGGTGCTGTGGGAGATTTAGGTGCTCAAAGGCAGCTCCTCAGAAACTCTTCCCTAATTTATCCCATCACCCAAACTGTCTGAGTTTATATTCATTCAGTACTTAAAAGTAAGTTTCCATCACAATCATTGTTTTTAGGGCACAGACATGAAGACTCAGGCCTTGATTTCAAGTAGACTCTGTGTGACTCTTGGCTCAGCCACTTGGAGCCTTGCAATTTTGGTTAAATTGCTTAACCTCTGTAATCCTTCCTCTATTCATCTGCAAAGTCAGATAATAATAACTCTGTCCAGTATGTAGCTCATTTTAGATATTATTAGATGAAATAATGGATCAAAAGCACTTAGCTCATGAAATAAGAGCTTCATCAAGGTTGTAGATGTTCTAGCTCTCCTTACTGTTATCCCACTCCTATTATACTCTGCGTTCAGTTTACCAAACAAGAAGCCAAAGATAAGTGGCAACCCGCACAGATCTCCCACGTCTCCTAGTCTCAGAGGACCATCATCCTTGCAGACGCCATGTTAAATAACTGATGGAATGGCCCACGTGGGTCTGCAGGATCCAGACACAGGAGACTCCCAGGTGGCTGCACAGTGTGTGGTTAGGGTCGGAAACTCTGCTGGGGTCACTTGCTTCCATCCAAGTTCTGGTTCTGCCACCCACCAGTTGCATCTCCTGATGCAGTAAAATGGAAAAGTGACGGTCCCCCCTCCTGGGGTCACGGGAGGATTCAGTGAAGTGTACTCGTGAATCGTCTGTGGCAGTCCCCGACCCAAAGTGTCTAATAAATATTAGCGATTATTACCTACTTTGTTGTAGCCAGCTCAAGACCTAGCGCAGAGAAGTCTGCAAAAATGTGCTAACTGGCTGGAAGTAATGGCAGGAACACCAGACTGCAGCCCTGTGACCACACTGCCATCGGAACACCAGACTGCAGCCCTGTGACTACACTGCCATCGATTTAAAATCAATGTGGAAGGAGTACTGTGCTTGTGACGATATCTGAGCCTGGGTAACTTTTAAAGGAATAATAGTATTTCTTACAGTTCTGGAGGCTGGGAAGTCCAGGGTTGAGGGGCCTCATCGGGCTGGGGTCTCCCTGCTGGAGGTGAGTCTCTACAGAGCCACAAAGCCGTGAGGGTGTCCCAGGCAGGAGCTGAGGGTGTGGACGTGTGGACGCACTAGCTTAGGGCTCTGCCTCCGCTCCTGCAGCAGCCAATCTTGCTCCCGTGATTAACGCACTGACCCATCAATTCATTATCTCATGAATCCACTCACGCATAAGTGAATTAATCCATTAATGTATGAATAAATCAATCTACTCATGACCCAATTGCCTGTAAAGACCCACCTTGTAATACAGCCACCCAGGGGATTAAATTTCAACATCAGTTTTGGAGAAATCAAACGGTTGACCCACAGCAGCTGCTCCTGCAGATTACCTGTTTTCTCAGTGAGAGGGAGAAAACTGGCAGTCTAAGGGGAAGAAGTCAGATGCGTTGACAGCTCCTGTGAAAAGCACTGACAGTGGTGTGTACATCGGCCTCCCTGCCCCTGGAGGTTAAACTTCATTCAATCCTCCAACTTCTTAGTCAAGTAGTGGTCCCCCAACTTCCACATTCCAACCACTGCCGCCTTTGTGCAGTGCTGCTCCAACTGTGTCCCTCGTCCTATGAGATGTTCATCACCATCCCACGGGGAAAGTAACAGAATGGGGCTTATCCAAGGTCAAATAACCTTGGGAAAATTGATGAACAACATTACGTAGGTTTCTTTTCTGAGGTTTCTCAGATCTTTTTTATGTACAAATTGCCGGGAGAGGGTAGATGCACATGCAGGGCCTCTCCCTTGCATCTGACCATGAAAACCTCTGCTCATAGAAAAGCTCTGAGAGAAAGGCTATGCACACCTCCCACTGCACACAGGAAAGTGGGGATACGCTGCTTTACGGAAGGGAAAACCTTAATGGCAAAATAGCAGATGATGTGGAAGACTGCATATTCGAAAATAAGAAATTAATGTTTTGGACACCCATAAAATGCTAGAAATTTAAACAACCACTTAGATAAACTTTGCAGCAACTGCATCATCACCAAGATTTTATAGCTCGAAGAAACTGAAGCTAAAGATTAAAAGAACGTCTCACCTGTGGTGAGCAAAGGAGGTAGCTGACTGCACTAATGGAGACACTTCTGAAAGCTCTGGAATTGCAAAATGGAAGGAAGGAAAACCCGTAAATGACAGAGAACAATTACTCCAGCGTATCTATGCACAGCTTCTATTGTTTTCTTTTCATCATTTCACCCCCAAAACCTGTTAACTGAACTCTACAGAGAATAAGAGGAGAGAGGTAAGTTTTATACTACAGCAAGTATAGAGTGAATGTAAATTACTTTAAGGAAAAACACAGAGGCCACAGAAAACGTTGGCTGTGGGTTTTTATCTTTTCACATTTTATGAGCACAATTCCTTTACTCTGCTGGGGCGACTTTTATAGCAGGTCCCGTGAGACAAGTGAGTGATGAGACTGTACTGCAATGGTCCTGCTTTCTCTTAAATATGGGACCAGTAATTCAAGTCAGACAAATATTCTAAACTACATGGATTAAAAGGGACTAATTCGGGAATCTGCAAAGAACATTTTTTCCCCTGCTTTCTAGCCCCTTGGGCACCCAGCACAGTGATATAAAAATAGATAGGTAGAGAGATAGAAAGATACAGATACACACACACATATAAATACCTATACATCAAGCTTACACCTTATATATGTGTGTGTGTGTTTGGGTAATTGGTACTTTTGCAGCTGAACAATATCTTCTAAAGTAACCTGACAGGTTATTTCTAGAAATTGACTATTTGGACATACTTTGGTTACTGTATTGGGTTGCTGGACACAGATGATTGATTTCCCAGGAGGCCACCACACCATCTCCTAGGATAAAGGACGACGAAAGACATTTTTGTGATCCTGCATTGCAGATTTTCTCCCCCGAGGCAACGTAAAAGCTCAGGTGTGTAGGGCCAAGAGCTTTAAAACTGGCAGGCGGAGGCCCGTGGACCCTTCTGCAGTAGCCAGGGACACCAGGGCCAGGCCACACGGTTTCTCATAAGGACACAAAATATGCAATATGTGATTTAAAAGAAGGTCACCTCTCCGAGTCAGTGGCCATTACCTAATCGCTTGAAGGATTTTTCCAGACAGGTGGCCTGGAAACCTTTTACTTATTACCATCCCTGAACCATTTTACTCTCGCCTCCTTGATACCTTGAAGAAAACGAGCTGCCACAGCGCAGGTGGCAAGGTTGAGAGCTTTCTCCGCGCAGAACACAGTCTCGCTCGGGCCTCCCGTGGCCTGGGAAGGAGGAAAGGCGGGGCCTGTCATTCCCATTTTTAAGACGCACGGATGTAGAGTTAAACAGTCCCAAGGAAGTTGCCTCTGGACTTTGAGTTCAGCCTTCTCAGTGGAACAACCCTGGGTTCATTCTGCGTGCATGAACTGATAGCAAAGTCGAATTATTACTGAGAGCCATATTCAAGAGGATCTTTTTGGGGAGGTACCTCCATTTTTTGCCTCAAATCATGTCTGTGTATCATGTGTCTGTATAGCAGATAGCTGCGTAAAGTGTGACTTTTTCTTTTTCCTTTCTTTGGAAAATAGCATGAAAACAGCTCCCCCTTGCTGTCCCTCGAAGCATATCTTCAGCAAAGTTAAAACCGCCAGTGGAGGGTCAGCGTTTCTGCTCGGCTCGCCCCTGAGGCTGCGCTCCTTTGTCCCCAGGAGCTGATTACTAGGTAAGCAGAGCTGCCCTCCCTCCCAGCGCCCCCAGATTTCCTCTCTCTCACCCCTCGCCCATTCCCCCCAGCACAGCAGCCTGGCGGTTTCTTCCCTTCGGCTCCTGGACAACGCAGCCTGGGTGGCCGCTGTCCGGCAGCTGCTCTATGTCCACCCGAAGAGATGTCCCCACGACAGCAACCAGACCAAGTCCCCACGGACTATTGCGGCCCAGTTCCCGCCATTCCCGCTGTGGGAATCAGGCGTTTCCCTTAGAAAACCCCAGAAATCTAATTTAGAGAAACTCCCCAAGTCCCCAGGCCCCAGAGGGAGACGTGTCTTCCCCGCGGCGCAGCTGCCCTGGGAGCTGCAGTGGGACCTGGAGCGCGTCCTTCCCGTTGCAAACACAAGACAGCAGAGAGCCGGCATCAAAGACGCTACCCCCAAGAACTCCCTTTAAGTCGCAAATTGTCACTCGGCAGACTTGGGGGCGGGGGCAGGAATGGGCGGGGCGGGTGGGTAGTAATTCCCGTGGCATAAAATTTACCGGACTGGCTACTGGAGGATGAGCTCTAGAGGGGAAGGGAGAAACCCGGACTGGGGAGGTGGGGGCGGCAGCCAAGTTCAGGTGCGTGACTTCGCTGGCGGGTGCGCGGAACTCTGAATTGCCCGCGCCTGCGGCAATCAAATGCAGGGGTGAGGCGTTTAGGGAGGCTGGAGGAAACCGAGATGACCCTGAAAACGCGTGGCACGTCCACTTGTCCAAGTTTCTGGAAGAGAAGGGCGGGAAAGCGCCAAGATCCCGCCTATTTTGCCTAAGAATCGACGAGTCCCTCAGCCCCACCTCTGCAGCAGTGATGCAAAGCGGACAAATCGCCGACGTAGCTACAGGGTAGAAAAACAACTCCGGTGAGGTGGGGAACAGGCACCGAGCAGTCTGCAGCCACTTGGGCGAGAGGGAGCCGGCATGAGTAACTGAGCGGGGAACGCGGCGCTTTCCGACCCTGGGAGGGCACCGCACCCGCCTGGCCGCAGTGGGGAAGAGCTGCGCGCAGAGAGCGGCTCAGCCTGCGGGGGACGCGGAGCAGGAGACGCCCGCGGGATTGCGGGGTCCGGCGAGCGGCCATCGCTGGAAAGACGGTGGGCAAGGGGCAGGAGCCCCAATCCTCCGGGGCTGGGAGAGGACGGCCGGTGCGGGCCAGGACTTCGGGGGACCGCACCGGGGCCTCGGGGGAGGGACGAGCAGGCGGTGCCAGGACAGCATGCGTGTCTTCGGAGGCTCCGATGCGGGGCCCTGGGGCAATTCCAGCTGTACTAACGCCAGCTTGGAGACCGAGGACCTCGGGAAAGGCGGCGGCCCGCCCCGGGACGTTCGCAACGAGGAGCTGGCCAAACTGGAGATCGCGGTGCTGGCCGTGACTTTCTTGTTGGCGGTGCTGGGCAACAGCAGCGTGCTGCTGGCGCTGCACCGCACGCCGCGCAAGACGTCCCGCATGCACCTCTTCATCCGCCACCTGAGCCTGGCCGACCTCGCGGTCGCCTTCTTCCAGGTGCTGCCGCAGCTGTGCTGGGACATCACGTACCGCTTCCGCGGGCCGGACTGGCTGTGCCGCGGGGTGAAGCACCTGCAGGTGCTCTGCATGTTCGCGTCGGCCTACGTGCTGGTGGTCATGACCGTCGACCGCTACATCGCCGTGTGCCACCCGCTCAAGACGCTGCAGCAGCCGGCGCGCCGCTCGCGCCTCATGATCGCAGCAGCGTGGGTGCTGAGTTTCCTGCTGAGCACGCCACAGTACTTCGTCTTCTCCATCATCGAGGTGGACAACGTGACCAAGGCCCTCGACTGCTGGGCCACCTTCATCCAGCCCTGGGGCTCCCGCGCCTACGTGACCTGGATGACCGTCAGCATCTTCGTGGCTCCGGTTGTCATCCTGGGCACCTGCTACGGCTTCATCTGCTACAACATCTGGAGCAATGTCCGCGGGAAAACCGCGTCGCGCCACAGCCCGGGCGCGGAGGGAGCGGGCGGCGCGCTCCGCAAGGGGCTCCTGCTGGCGCCCTGTGTCAGCAGCGTGAAGACCATCTCCCGCGCCAAGATCCGCACGGTGAAGATGACCTTCGTGATCGTGACGGCGTACATCGTCTGCTGGACGCCTTTCTTCGTCATCCAGATGTGGTCGGTCTGGGATGAGAAGTCGAAGTGGAACGGTAGGTGCCTGGGCAGACGGAGGGCAGTGCAGGATGGGGGTGAGCGCCTGTGTGGGCGCGCGCGCGTGGAGAAAGCAGGGTCTCCTGTGGTCAATCTAGGCAGCAGTTCTTAAACTTCCGTGTGAATAGCAATCGCACCTTGAGGAAAAATTCTCAAAAATGGGGATTTCTGGAGTCCGCACCTCAGACACCCTAACTCAGAATTTTGCAATAGGGCCCAGGGGTACAGGGCTCTGCATCTGGGTGTGCAATGATCCTAAGACCACAAATAGAAACTGTGCCCGAGAGTCAGCTACACAACTACAAAACCCAATGATTTTTCCCCCCAAATCAGGGACTGCCAAGACCCGGCTTTCAAGTCTATTGGACTCAGGGAAATATTTTTAGTGTCACAACTGCTTTTTGTCGGATTGTGAAAAGTACCACAATTAGCATAAAATCTTTGTAGAAGGTCCTCAAGGGCAAGGGTAAAAACATATTTTTCTAAAGAAAACTGGGGAAAGAGTCTTGAGAAGTCAAAAACTGTAAGTTGGCACTTAGCTAATGTTCCCTTTCCCACTGTAACCTGTTTACTTTTTTCTCACAATAATTACTTCAACACTTCCTCCTAGTATTTCAAAGTGAGATGACTGGTAAACTTAATTAGGCTAATTCCCTCATCATCTTGCATTACTAATGTGACCACACAACTCTTGCAGTACTTTACCAAGAATGTTTTCTATACCTACTACCTTGCTTGATTTTTAATTCCTTCCAAAACTTAAAACTAACTCCACAAAGACTTAAAAAGAAAAAAAAAAACATTAAATTTGCATCTTGAAAGTATTTTTTTCTTACTAAGAAAAAAATTCCCATCTCCTATATTACAACAATGTTTCTGATAACAGGTATGGTCAGGAAATGAGTACCTAAGAGGAGCCAGCTCCTTCAGTCTTCTGGTCTTGGAATAGGAGACCATACACCATAGGCTTTGGAATTACATTTGCAAATAAAACATTTGCATATGGATTTAATTTAAACAAATATTCTTGCAATATACCAATAATGAATACCAACAATGAAAAATGCAGCATAAACACTTTATTTCTAATTTACACTCTCTATCTTGCTTGATCTTAAAGCCTCTTGATATTACCAAGCAAATAAAAAATTAGTCTAATTATCCTGCTAGCCAGATTTGTGCACAATCACTGAAAGCTTTGCTTGTGCAGGTTGGTGGTTGGGGTTTCCATCCCTGTGTAGACAGCCGTGGCTGTATGAATCACGGTCACCCTTTAAGGGTAGTGCCTTGGCATACGGTATGATGAAACAACCTGGGATTTTTTTTTCTTTGTCATAACAAGAGTGAGAAGATCCAAGTTTATATTAAATAATCAAAGGTAAGTATAAGAACGACCAGCAAGCACTGACTGGATTATTTTCAGGGCAGTAGTTCCCCTAAGAAAGTACATCACATTTATGCATGATCATTTACTGCTGCTCCCTAGCATAAAATATTTTAGAATACTGTTGGAATTCCTAACTCTGCTGTTCTTCTTAATACAATTTGCTCAGACCACAGTAAAAGATGATTTCCTTTTACTAATTTCTACTTAACCAAAGGAAAACAACTAAAGCTTGCATCCTTCAGGAATCTGCCTCGGTTTTCCATTTATAAGAATGTTTAAAATTTTAAAACTGCTAAGCATGATTTATAATGCCACACTTTTGCCTGAGTTATTAGGAGGAATACAATTTGGTATGTGTGGTTATGGCTCCTAAATTTCATTAAAATTGCAGCCATTCTGTGAATGGCTGTGTTCACTAGCACATGCTAGTAGTAGAGATTTGTAAATCAATCGTTTAGTAGTTTTCACCTCTTGAAATTCACTTTCATTCTAGTGAAATATTTTTATTTCAGAATATTAGGGGCACGCATTTTGTTTACATACTTTATTTTTGTTCAGGTAGAGTCACAGTTATAGACATAAGTTTGCCCTTCATCCAGATGGTGGTTTAAAAATATTTGCATTAATTTTAAGGCATCTTGTTTACAGCCATATGTTATAACCAATTTCCAAACACCACCCACTTCCCTGATTGGTGAGCAAAATCGTTCCTTTTCTATCCTAACCCGTAACTTTTTCCCTCTTGAGTGGATACAAAAATGAGTTTATCCAGTGCTCAGTTCCTTGCATTTTGACTATTTACATAATCTCCCTGTGTATTTTTTCATGCAGAGTCAGAAAACCCCACGGTCACCATCACTGCACTGCTGGGTTCCCTGAACAGCTGCTGCAACCCTTGGATATACATGTTCTACAGCGGCCACCTCCTGCAAGACTGTGTGCAGGGCTTGCCCTGCTGCTGCAGCGTGGAGCACAGACTCAACAAAGGAGACACAGACAGCGTGAGCCGGAGGCAGACGTCTTACTCCAACAACCGAAGCCCCACCAGCAGCATGGCCACATGGAAGGACTCCCCCAAATCCTCCAAGTCCATCAGGTTCATTCCTATTTCTACCTGAGCCCTCCGTCCACGCAGCCTGACTCCTGTGCTTGACTGTTTGGCCTATTTGCTGAACTGAGCTAGAAATCATAAGGACAAAGGAACTTTACTGAGATGAGCATAATTAATTCACTGGGTACCAGACTCTGTTTCAGGCTCCATCTTCACACGGCTATGACAAAAACTATGAATTATTTTGTACGGAGTATTAATGACAACACACTGCACTACAATGTGCTGGCCTAATTCCCGTAAATATAACAGAAGTGATGTTTCCAGAGGAAAAATTGTGACTATTCTCTTGTTGGTGTCTTTGATTTTTCTCTTTTTCTGATGTAAGAAGGGCTTGACTGGCACTCTTGCTGAACAAAGTGATCCCATCGTCAGCTGTAGTATGTAAAGGAGACATCAGAGGAATTATGTTTTCATCCAATAAAATCAGTTTGTGCATCAGAAAATGCAGCCCCAAATGGTGGCCTGGAGTTGGGACGCTGTCTGGGAGAGGCGTGAGTGCCGGGGTGTACTGATCAGGAGGAGGCCACTCAGCGCCAAACAGGAAAGTTCTGTCAGAAGCTACGAACCGTCCGGTTTTCAAAGTGGTAACGTTAGACCTGCAGCATCTCGTTCAGGTTCCTCACGGTCCATCAGCCAGGAATCTTTTATGATTCCTAAGATGCTGAAGGTTAGAGAAAATGTTGACAGCTGACTAAAAAAATGTTTTTTCCCTACGACAAGGTTGTTTTAAAGTCAGATTTCTAGGAGCAATGTCAAACTTTATTAGAAGAACAGAAAAAGATTGTCCAAGGTACTCTGTAGAGTCCTGGGCTGTCCACCCTGTAGCCTGTAGATCAAATGCCGATTATTTGAGGCCCGTTTGCTTATTTGTGGTGTCAGATATCACAAAACTTATGCATGGACCGTGTTTTTGCTGGCCACGTGTCGTTATTGTTTGTGTTTTTAATGTGTGGCCCAATGTGCAACAGGGGGAAAAAATAAGGTTGGATACCTCTGCCACACTTTCTCTCAAACACTGTCCATATATTTTGACCAGAACATGGGTGTCCCATGCTATGCTAGAAATGCGATCATTACCTTCATGTTGGGGAACTAGATTCCTAAAGAAAAGTCTCCTCAAGAAGGACTCAGGATATATAGTGTCACCACGTGTTTAGGTGAGAATGGCTTGCTCTTTCTTTCCAATCTCCCGCTCACCTAACAGAAGAGGCAGGGCCGGGGCGGAAGAGCAGACAGAGACAGAACTCTTCCCCGCCTCATCTGGCTGCCTTCTTAGTAAATGCATGATTTTAGGCAAGTTATTTAAACACACAGGAAGCCTCGGTTTCCTTGACTTACTCACGATTTGTTGTGAGGACTAAATTAAACAAATGTGCGAGCAGAGCTTTACCTACAAGCAGTAGAGTGCTATGTATACACACTAGCAGTTGCTTTTATTGTAGTCTTGGGATCTGCAAAACGCACACAGCTTCTTTTTCTGTCTCATTTTCATTAGTGAGAGTTGTTTGGTTTCATGGCTGCGATTTAAAATCCTAAAATTTAAATACAGATCTGCAGACGTGCTGGAAAGCATTGCCAACGGCGACTAAACTTGCCCTCTCCTGCCCAATTAAGTTTTCCAGGTTAAAGGCAGAACTTGCTGTCCTTCAAATGCGGGTGAATCAAAGCCAGCCGCAGGCTTTCATTTCTCAACAGAGAGGAATTACCACACTCGCTGGCTGCCTTGCGCTTCTCATCACTGGGACTCAGTTCTTTTCCCGTCATTGAGCGGTTCCTCCTTCTTAGAGATAGATCATGCAGAGGTTTGGGGATACGTCATAAATATTTTGCATCCTTTAGAAACCTAACGGTTGCTTTTAATAGTATTGTTGGGTTTCTATTTTGAGCTTTGTGGATAAGAATGAGGCCTGGATGGCATGGCAAGAACTTGGAAGCCCCGACTTCATGCCTCTTCATTCTGCTGGCTCTCCAAATTCTCAGCCCTAAGACTCCCTGGATTGATATGCCTAAAAAATGTTTCCAAATGTACTTTAGAGATTACACTCTTAAGTTTTAGAATTCTTCCTTCTAAAAATAACAAACATGTCTCTTAAAGGGCACTGTGTAATGGAAGCTATCAACTAAATCAATTCTTCTTTATTTGAGTTAGAACAGCATCTCAGTTGCCTGCCGTGTGAGGCCATCAGCCCTTTTCAAGGCTTCTCTTTGAGATAGAGGTAAGTGGGCTGTCAGATAACAGAGCTGAGTACTAGTTCTATGCTAAGAAACGTGGGTTTTTTTTCTCTGTGGTTTAGAGAAACATCATCTCTTTAATTGCTGAACCTTCTTAATGTTGTGCACCCAGAATGGCGTTCAGATATGTTAAAACAATATTCCAAATTAGAGGTGGTAGGTGGTAAGGAGAAAGTATTCTGGGATGGAAAATTTTCTTTTTCTGGACCAAAGAATAGACATGAGACATTGTGCCCAATGATGGGAACTCAAAATAAGCCTTCTTATGAATAGTTCTTAAATTTTGTTATATCACCTTATTTTATTTTGCACAGTTATCTGTGGGAATACCCTTCAAGTACAAACTATTAATGTATCTATGCTGGTTTCAGAGATGCGATATAAAAATCCCACCGATAGGAAGACACTGGTCTATTGGGCATGTGATAAATATTAATTGATGATGAAAAAGAAGCACTTTACAGTACATATTAAGTGCTTAATTGGTTAATTTTGGAGCGTGTGTTTGTAAAATGTACAACAATTTGGCTTTTGTTTTGAAATTTCATTTGGAACATAACTGTAAAGAAAATTAGTGAAATTCTTGTGTCAATTATATACATACCCTACACACATAGAATTTCCATCATCTTTGAAGTCTTATACCATGGTTAAGACAGGGTGTGGTTTTAGAGGGAAAAAAAATCAAGTAGGCTTTTTGTTTGTTTGTTTGTTTGTTTTAGCTGCCAGGAATACTGTGTTGAAAAGCAGTCTTATTAACACACAGTCGTCTGCCAAACTTATTACAGTTGCTAGAATGGACAACCATTAATGACTAAGAAACACAACTTTCATCTGTTATTACACAAGATATCCAATTAGGTTAAGTTTTATGTTTTTCAGATTCTAAAACTGATATCTTTCTAACTGACTTGAACGCCTGGTGCTTTAAATTATGGCTTCAGAGTTTGCCAGAAACATAATTAGATGCAACTTGGGGAAAAATTGAACCCCATCCTGTACCCCAAATGTCAGAGATTAGGCTCCTGTAAATTCACACAGGTCGGAGCTTTATGGAGTCTCACACTGGAGGCACCCGCTCTGTGCAGAGTCCAGGGCAGGCCAACTGGGTCGCTCGTCCTGGAGACCCAGAAGCAGCCGCTGCCTCCCTTCCTCCCCTCAGTCTGCCTGATAGTGCCACTCAGTGCCATCAGCAACAAATAAGGTTTTTTTTTTTTTTTTAAGTCTTTTGTATATAGATCATAAATACATTTATGCCATTATAGGATTCAATGTGATGATTATTTGTACAAATTGGAATGTTTACATCCTATTAAGCAACATAGCCTTCACCACTTTTACCTAATTACAGGATTAAAACATTTATGCTCTACACCTGATAGATCCCACTTGTACTTGCAATATGCTCCATAGGTGTGGTCCCCCTACCAACCCTCCCTCTATCAACCAACCCCCCTCCCTTCCCCTCTCCCTCCCTCATCCTAGGCTATAGTTGTGTTTCATTTTTCATATGCAAGTGTGAGTGATTATACATTGGTTTCACGGTAGTGCTAAGTACATTGGATATTTTTTTTTCCATTCCTGAGATACTTTACTAAGAAGAATATTTTCCAGGTCCATCCATGTAAACATAAATGAGGTAAACTCTTCATTTTTTTAATGCTGCATAGTATTCCATGGTTAATAAATTGTGGTATATATATACTATGGAACAAATAAGATTCTTGATTAAAATTGGATCTCAGCCCACAAGAACCAAAATTTAAGAACTATTCATAAGAAAGCTTATTTTAAGTTCCCATGACAGCATAAATGGGTTAAATCACACAAATTGTGGAATTCCACTTTACACATATATATTTCGAGAATATTGTTTGAACATAACGTTTAGGCATAGTAAATTATCAGAAATGAAAATGTGTGACCTAAAGTATGTCAGCATCAAATATATATATTAGTAACACACTGAAAATTAAATGCCATTTTTTCTTTTTTTAAATTTTACATTGATCTATATTCTAAACAAAAGTAAAAACAAAGTATTATAGAATGAATGAAATATTTTTGTGTTCCAGGGTCAAAGTAACCAGTTTAGGAAATAAAAATCTGAGAATAAATCTGATGTTAACATAGGGATAATTATTATGAACATAAAATAATAAGCATTTCCACAGTCGGGGTTTCTGACTTCATATATATTCTGTGATGCTTTTAACTCATCACTGTAACAAATTTACCAAGAATTAGTGTTGTTTACTTAGTATTCCATTTTTGGAACTGCTTTATTAGTGTTCTCTATCCTCTGGCTTCCTAGGCTACGTAGAAGAATTTCAGTGTGTTTTCCTGGACCAATTGCATGATTCTCATTTTGAACAGATAGCTAAATGTTTTGTGATTGTATCTAATATTTGGTCTTTTAAAGAAAAAAAGACTTGTGATTATATTGAAACAACTAATATATTTATTCTTCGATTTAACTCTATATTGGCTTGTTTCTATAAATAAAAATAAATTTTGGACTTGTTTGAAGTAATTGTTTCACAACTGAGTTTGACAAATATATTTCAAATTAACTATATTAAAAAATAATGTCTGGTTTTACAGCTGGTAGCTATTGATATGCTTACATTTGAGTACAAAAATGTTTGTTTTGCTATTTGACTATAGCAAGAATATGTGAAACTTTGTAACTGCCTTTTAAATAAATTACAATAAAAAACAAATCAATTTTGGTATAGTCTGTATTAAGATGACCAAAAATAATTGGGTTTAGCTGAGGTCATGTATATCATACAGCCCTAAAGATGTCCTTGATGTTCACTGATTTTGTAAAGTTAGTGAGACAGGCTAACGATCAAGAATCTATTCCCCTTGAAGTGTCTCTAAAAATCAGAATTCTTTTCCCTGTGGGCTGGTAAGTTCAAATTGTATTAACTTTATAATTTATATTGCCTATTTTTTTTCTTTTGTAAGTTGAATCTTAGTAGCATAAACTATAAAAGGCTTATTTTGGTTTTGGCCTAAACTGTAGAAGCCATGAAAGCCCAGAATGTAAGAAATGGAATTTAAAGTCTCTATTTTAAAATATCACTGTTATTTTAAAAGACTTATAAGTGTCTAAGAATAAAAAATATTTCTACCACAGCTATTTTTATAAAGATCTAAGGACCAGGTAATATAAAAAATACTGTTTCATTGTCTACCAGAAGATGTGCAAAAGGAAACCCCAAAGAAACATTTTTAGAGTCAGTCAAAATTGAAAAGATGTCCAAGTAATGGAATAAGATGTGGATAGTCTATGAATATACCACCCATATACCTACAGATGCCAAATCTACATGTGTATTATGAAATATTGCAAATGTTTAAAAGTGAGAAGCTTTAATTACCAGAAGGAGTGCTGTGTAGTGGGGGAAGCACTACGGGAGAGAGTCCCCGGTGTTTCCTCGGTTTACAGGTGAATGATCGTGGGAAAGTCACTTAATGGATCTGGCTGCCTGCGCGCTATCATCTTGGTTTTAAAAAAGACTGGATTTATGGATTCAAGTCCAAACTTAACCCTAATCGAAATCCTTTGTCAGCACCACGGTAATGGGCACTTGTCCCTAAGCAAACTCAGTGGGATTTCAGCAGAATTTAAGTCGAAGTATACGTTTATCCCCCATTCCAATCCCAGCTTCCGTGGTTCCCCAGGGCACCCACGTTTTGACTCCAGCCCCACTACAGAAGCCTGAGCAGATAGAAGCTGGACAGACGCCCCATTTCAGCTCTGCACTTTCTCTCCCCTTTAACATCCAGGTAGAGTAGCCTTAGCCTCAAGCCTGAGCCTATCCCTACATCCAAAGGGAACCCCGGGGACTCGTAGAATTCCTGTTTCTGTTGAACTCCCAACCCCAGCTCAGCTGCCTTCTCGCGACTACTTTGTCTTTACTAGTCTTCTGCCCACTTTTCTTCCGCCACCTCTACGAGCACTTGGTGCTCTGTGTCATGGGGTCCCCTGAAGGTCAGCAGATCCTGGGGGAGCTTAGCTTATACCACAGAAGAGACACGAGTCCGTAGTCTTTGAGGCCC